TCCCTACGAGTGGGTAGAGAGTAAATCACCCGCCCCTCCGGGACTAGAACCCAGGGATAAAGTTACCCACCGGCACGCATCATATTTATAATCGATGTCTTGCCTAACCGTAAAATAAAGATGACATGAAATAAATTATAGTTACATAATAGGTGCTCCGCTATGTAAATGACTGGGCCCAAATAACGGAGAAGACGTTCTGAAGTTTTTAGAATACTGGGACCTAAGGGTAGAATCATTGGGAACACGACAGCTACTAATGCAGTAGTGCCCGTGGGTGACGGGATTCTTTGGAAAGCTGAACAAATTTGGGGAAAGCGTCAATAAAACAAAATACAATCATCTTTCTATTTACAAGGTAGTGGTGTTCCTGGAAATTTAGTTGATATTTAAGGGCACAAAATATGTTCTGTTCCCATGTAAAAGGGAGTCAGGGTCTAAGCTCTGATAGTTATGAAAAGATTTTTCATCTGCGTGAGGATCTGGCAGGTCATTTGAAAGTCATGTGGTACATGGGACAAGTCTACTCCATGTGGCCCTGTCCCCGTGCATTGCAAGATATAATAGAGATGGCATCTCTTCTTCCATAAATGCCAGGAACCACCCTCATCATCACTGTGATGACCCAAAATGGAAATTACTAAAAGCACACAGACACTCCCATTGAAAAGCATTGATTTGATTAAATGAATGAAGAAATATTAGTATTTATATATTCATTCAAAGAAATGGGCTCACTCTCTGTCAATACCAGATAAAGGTGCTGGGGGATACCATGATGGACAAGGCAGAGGAAGTCCCTCTCTCCCTCATGAAGTTTATATTCTAGTTAGTGTATTAAATCAAGAAACATTTAGGGAGCACTCCATCTATAGGTAGATCCCCTCCTCAGGGAAGACTTCCTAGACCACCCAGTGGTTTAAAGCCTGCCAGCACTGTTCATCCCAGCACAGTGGGTCTGTACTGGATAGATGGTATGATCTGTCAAGAGAAAGAATGAGTCCAGGGTTGGGAAGAGGAAGGAAAAAAACTTCATGGTGAGGACATGGCTGCAGGTGAGGTCTCTGCAGCTGAGGATTCTGTAGTATAGAAGGAATGTCAGAGCTTTGTTTTCTGGATTCATTCATTTGTCATTCAACAAACTTTATGTGGCATTTCTAAGAGCCAGTCTTGCTCTGTTCCAACTGCTGGGGAAGACATGTGAGCTAAACATTCATGGACCATCCTGCCCTTATGAAGGAGAGAGATGAAAAGCAAGCAAATATGGGTGTGTATAGAACTTGTGAAAAGGGCTTTGAATCTAGAGACTTTTTGAGTGTAAGAGCAGGGGAAACCCAGCCCCATCCTCCCAGCAGGAGGTCAGTTCCACCTACAAAAGCTCTATTTCCTATAAGCAACAATGGCTCTGCCCCTCAGGAAGGAAGACCCTTCCTTGTCCACAGACAGGGTCTTTGAGATGTTGGAGGTTTGGTCCAGGCAAAAGACAGCACAACTTTGGACTGTTGTCACATCTCTGGGCCTCCTCCATCTGTATGATGGGCTCAGTCAGCCCTTTAAGGAAGAGGGGACCAGTATCTGCCCACTAGAGGGAAGATATTCTTCCCTTCCTATCCTCCAAGGAAAGCTTCCTGGAGGAGGTAGCAATGAAGCTGGACCTTTAAAAGAAGGTCGTGTTTTGGGAGGTAGAAATGGATGGAGGCAGGGAGATCATTCTACAGACAGAAGTACAGAGACGGATAAACCATTTGTTAGCTTAGTAAGTCATTTTACACTCTTGGGGCTTAGTTTCCTCATTGGTCGAATAGATATGATATGAGATAGTATACGTATACCTTTACACAGTGCCAGGCATACAAGAAGTATTTGGTAGACAGTGGATAATATAATACTGTATTATTACAACATGACATTTTCAAGGTTGCTATGAGTAGCCCAATGAGGCTAGAACGTAGGGGTGTATGTGTGTGTGTGTGTGTGTGTGTGTGTGTGTGTGTGTGGTGGGGAAGGAAACTGCAAAACAGAATTGAAATCTTGCAGAGGTCCTTGAATGCCATTCTAGAGTGTGGCATTTCCCAGGAGTAATTGATCCAATAAATACTATTATTTGGAAATAATGACATTAATAGCTAACACTGCACAGTATTTCCTACACCCCAGGCAGTATTCCAAGCTCTGTAGAGTAACTGGCCAAGATCAAAAAGCTGGCAAGAGTGGATTGAGGCTTAAGTTTTTTCTTGCTCTAAATCTCCTGCTGTCTAAAATAATACAGGCAGACCTTGTTTTATTGCGCTTCACGTTCACAGATACTGTGTTTTTTACAAACTGAAGGTGTGTGGCAACCCTGTGTCAAGCAAGCCCACTGGTGCCATTTTTCCAACAGCATTTGCTCACTTGGTGTCTCTGTGTCACATTTTGGCAATTCTCACAGTATTTCAAACTTTTTCGTCATTACTGTATTTGTTATGGTGATCTGTGATCAGTGATCTTTGATGTTATGACAGCCAAAAGATTATGACGTGCTGAAAGCTCAGATGATGGTTAGCATTTTTTAGCAATAAAGTACTGTTCAGTTAAGGTATGTACATTGTTCTTTTATTTATTTATTTATTTTAATTTTTGGCCGTGCCACGTGGCTTGCGGGATCTCAGTTCCCCAACCAGGAATCAAACCCGGGCCACGGCAGTGAAAGCCAGGAATCCTAACCACTAGGCCATCAGGGAACTCCCTACAGTGTTCTTTTAGACATTATGCTACTGCACATTTGACTACAGTATAGTGTAAACATAACTTTTATACGCACTGGGAAACCAAAAAGTTCATGTGACTGGCTTTATTGTGATATTTGCTTTATTGCAGTGCTCTGAAACCCAATCTCCAAGGTCTGCCTGTACTAATAATGATAACTAATATGTATCGAAGCTTACACACATCATTTCATTCAATGCTCACAACAGTCATAGAAAGTCAGTGCTATCATCCATCACTTTGCAAATGAGGGAACTGAGGCTCGGGAGGTTGAGTGACTTGTCTGCGGCTTGACCCCTGGTAGCTGGTGGGACACTGGGAGCCATGGAAACGTGCCATCCTAACTCCTTCCAGAAAGCCTGCTGTAGGGGTGTATTTGATTGACAGCTGCTGCCCCTCTGGCTCCACCATCGTGTTCACGCAGGGGCCACAGCCAATGACGAGCATGGAGGAGGTATGAATGCCGGCCTATTCCTGCCTAGCGTGAGTCTCTCCTACAGGATATCCTCAGCTTTAGGACTCCCCATCTATCTGGCCAAGGTTCTCTCAAAGCTACACTGTAGTGTGAAGATTTTCCTACCCAATCCTTCCTTCCCACTCTCCCACCAGGTGTCAGGTCTACATCATGGTCTGAAGGCTCTCCCTGCCTGCTTCTACTCCCATCTCCTTTATCTTTCACTGGCATTTTCCTGATAAATCTCTTGCACACCTAATCCCATCTTGGTGTCTGCTTCTCGGAAGCTCTAACACACCGACCATGTGCTACAGACTCTTAACAATCCTGCCTCTTGCGGGTGACCCCTGAGGCTGACAAAGCAGTTCACACACACTAATCCTTTCATGTCTACAAGAAGTATGTTCAGCAACCCTGTGTCTGAGCACCAGTGAACAGGAACCTGTCATGAAATTCTGGTGGCCATAAGCAGGGGAATGGACACCCAGGAGGAATATGGATGTTTGTGCTGCAGTCTGCAGAGCCCAGGGTAGCTCTGCAGGCTGCAGCTTGGCTTCCTGACCCATAGTCTGGCTTTGACACAGAAATAGGTCCAGAGAAAAGAAGGAAGCCTCGGGAGGCTCCACTCATAGCTGGACGAAATCTTCCCTCAAAAGTAGCCAGCTGCCCTTGCTCTAATTCGCTCACCACGCTGACTCCTCATGTGAAATCTCTGATGTTGGGAACGAGCTCGCCCCCCCAGAAAGGGGTGATCTCGGTGGCTATAGCAGGGTTAAAGCCAGTGGATGCCATG